CTGACTGTAGAAATGCAGAATAAGACAATTGTTACAACTCACGAGGATAAGCTTTAGATCTCAGTGAGAAACTGTAAAACCAGAAACACTAATAGAAGCACAGGAAGGAATAAATTGTTCTAATCATGCTAATTCTGGTGTCAATGGGTTTTAGGAGTGATGCTAAGGTATGGGTAGCGAATCAATACTGGGAGGCTGATCCACTGTCTTTGATTCATCAGAGCTATTCTGACAAACATCGATTGAGCTCCTGTTGGTTTCTGTTTCCCAGGGATTACTCCGAGTATTATAATGAGTGTGAATTGATTTATAAATGCCAGTGATTGGCTGGTGTCTCACAAACCTGTCCGCAAAGGCATCGCTTTATCTTTTACAGTAAGAAGCACCTGCCTTACTTGCAGCATTCACTGATTCGCATTGAGTCTCAATAGTCATTTTGGCCTTGTGTGCTTGACAGGTATATTTTTGTCTGACATTTCATAATAACTTTTGCCAGTTGTGAAAAGGTCCACTTAAGTATTGAGGTGAGGGATCATTGGAGTCTTCAGCAAACTTGCACTTAAGCATACTACACATTCACACACGTCCACCCACGCACTCAATCGCTCAGTTTTGATTGTCTGAGGTTCTCCTTTAAAGCTGAAGAAAAATACAGAAATTAAGCGGTGTATAGAGAAGAGGACTCTTTGGTCTGACTCTATCAAACTTCTGCAACCCAAGTTGAAGATAACAGCCATCGCGCACTCTGCTAATAGCCCCACTTCAAAACTCCTCTGCTCAGATCTCACCTGCAGCTTATTCACACAGTCTTCTCAGAAGACGAGAATAATGAACACAGAAAAGCCTAACATCGAGAGGCTGGTTGTGAATAGAAAAAGGAGGAGTGATCTGGTGATGCTGTTTTCTGTGAGTCGGGTTAATGCTTTGGTGTACAGTTATTATTCTCATTAGAGGCTGTCCACTTGCCTATTCTGCTGTTGTGGCAGAGATTAGAGTTGTTTCTCTTTGACCGTTTCTGCACTGAGGGAGGCGGGGAGAGAAAGATAGAGAAGGAGTTTCAAGCCAACAGAACACTTGGCAGCATAAACATGGGACCTGTGTTCTGCGCTATGACCTTGTTTGCTGACGTGTCAGACCTATTTTTCCACTCCAGAAAAAATGCTCGATTGCCACAAGGCAATGGGAGTACTCGTTTTGCTGCTAATCGCTTGGCTCCTCTGGGTCTCTGTGTTGTTGTAAGGATGTTTGTGCATGAGAGTAAAAGCCAGGATTGTTATTAGAGACGCTACTAAATGGGCTCCCCCACTCTCATGAACACTGCTGGTCTAAATATAGATTTACATAACAATAACAGCAAAATCGCACTGTTACAATCACAAAAAGGTTTCTTCCTGTTAAAAGAAAGTTTTTCCTTTCCACTGTGTCACCACATGCTTGCTTTAGAGGGTCATCTGATTGTTGAGGTTTTTCTTTCTAATGCATATGTTTCCTCTTATAATATAAAGTAAGTTGAGGCAACTGTTGTTGTGATTTTGTGCTATATTAATATTAATAATTGAAATTGAAAGTATTGCATTCAATGTTTTGTTTTATAAAGGCTCATTTTGGCTCAGTTTGAATCCTGATACATGAAGTAATTTGTGTCACACTAAAAAGCTAATTACACTGGAGTGAATGTGCATGTTGTTTTCACATTGCAGCTAAATTGAATATTCAGTTAAGTGGTAAATAATAAACAGCTAATATGGTAAAAAGTTATCGAATGTCAACATTACTGGTTTCAGATGTTATATTGCTAAGTCCTGTATGATATTAATTTCAATTAAATAAATGACTCATTTTTGTAGCATTTTGGAATTATTGTATGAAGGAACAGCAGGTACAGTAACCTCACGGCTGACTTGAACCAAAGGTGTAGCCAACTGGCCACTTAACCGCAACGTCAGCTGGTTAAAAATCACATTTTAGCCCATTTTCTCCATTTATTGTGTCCCAGATTTTTGTTATTTGGAATATATATAATGAAGAAAGAATCGGAATTTGAATTAGAAGTGTTATAGGTATGTATTTATCTAAGGTTAGTTTAAAAAGTTATCAAATCGTATCACTTGAACACCTCTTCACATTATAGTTCAAACCAAGTTTCTGGCCTTGTTATACAACTGTATTTATGTATAATAAAACTTAATCCTATATGACTACTTTATCTTAAAAGGGCTTCTCTTATGAATTCCAAATATACACAGTGTACTGCTGATGTTATTGCTGCTGTTATACAAATAAACGACACTCACTCTATTACAAAGATGCTGTATGAAAATAAGCTACCATGTCATTTCTTTTCATTTACTATGTTTACTCAAGATTCAACACTTCTTGGAGTACCAAGAACAACTCGCCAAGCCTTCCTGTAAGGAGGTGGTGCAGGAAAAGAACGACAGATATCCCTTTAGATTTCTGATTTGCCCTACGTATTGTTACATTATAATGCTGCAGGGCGTGACTGACTGCATGTCCAGTCCTAAAAAGAGCAGTATTGTCCTTGTGACATACATCAGTCACTTGAATGCCACTGTTGACCTATATATGAAGGCCTGGGTCAAAGGAGAGACAGGCTGGCCAGAGCACACAGGAGATATCTTGTTTAATGAACCTTAATGTGGCATGCATCAGACTGTGGCACACAAATATAACCAAGAGGAAGACACAATTTGTGCGCTACTTTGGTGAAAACTGAGCATAAACAGTTGTGTGTCTTGCATTGTTTCTGATTGTATAATCCAGACCAATGCACTGTGCGTTCTCTGGCTTCATTCAAAGCCAGTGAACGCACTTACTAATTAGATTCATGTACATTTTGACAGTAGAAGACAGAAAAACATGGACCAGCTCCTCGAAGGGGGAAGGGGAACGATGCAGAAGATTTAGTGCAACTCTAAGTCCTATTATCTATGCCTTGATGACTCCTCTGGTGCAATAATCAATGCAGGCTGACTGGCACCAGGGACACAGGGTCCACTACAGGAAGAGGATATCTTCAAACCATCCATTATGGATGAGAGAAGAAGTGAAGGGATGGAGAAAACAGGAGATGATAGATGTGGATAGGGCTAAAGGAGAGGGAGAAGAATGTGGAAAACAGGATGAGGAAGCGGGAAAAAGAGAAAGTAAACAACATGAGGAAGAGCTCATTCAGAGTGGGTGAGTGGATGAGGCATAAGGTGGAGATTGCAGCCACTGAATGTGCCATGGCTTCTGTTTATTTTTTTATTTCTTTGCTGCACTTGCTCCCTCTGTGAAGCTGGTTCATGCTGTTCTTCCAGTGTGACTGCAAAGTTTATGTCCAGCTGTGGGAATGGACGCAGCCCTCACAGGTATCAAAATTAAATTGTCTTCTTCCCTCCCTCCCACAGCATGCCACCACCTTTGCAGCAAACATTTTGTTTGTAACAACTGTTCTTTCTTCCCCCCTCACAGCTGCATCCTCCCCCGTGGTACATGCTCTAGTCTTCCTCCTCTTTCTTCCTTGTTGTGGTAATTTTGTCCTTCTTGCTGTGGCTGCCGTACCTTCTGGCCACACACACCAATATCAGCCCGAAATATCACTGCAAAAACACTCCACAAACAGCCCCTCCTCCAAACAGCCCCTCCTCTCCTGCATCCTCCTCCTTTTCCACTGTGATGTGAGGTCACAGCTGGGGAGCCCTTTGATTTGAAAGCTCAGTGTTTATGTGATAATACATTTGTGTATGCGATGGAGGGGGCTTCTGCGCTGCTGAGTGCCTGTGATAGAAGGGGTCCAGAATGCCATGACAGCGGTTGCTAGCCAGCACTAGCAGTTTATCCTCAGGCATACTGTAGCAGGGATATATACAGCCGGCCTCACTGCTGCCAACTCAAGCTAACAGGACTGTACCTGCAAGCGTGTTGGGGTCTCTGTGTGCCTCAGAGCTGTGCGCTCTAGAACAGAGGTGGGTGGCAGAGTAGGCTCAGTGTTTGGTTTGTGTGTATACTGTGTGGTGGAGCCAGAGGAGTGCTTAGAGTTAGGAAGTTTTGCTGGCTTTTTTTTTTTTTCTTTTTGCTTATTGCAACTTATGTTTGTGTGTGTGTGTGTGGGAGAGGGAGCATGTAGCACTGCTGAGCTCTGCTGGCTCTGGGATTCTGTCCTCTGCAGAGGGAATAGCTCATTATCTGCCTCTCAGAATGAAGCATCCTACCTAACACTGCAGTGCTGCACACTGAAAGGATAAACCTATTGAAGCGTTGTATGTGTGTGTGTGTGCATGTGTATGTGTGGGACTGTACAGGAGTTTGTAAGTTGGTATAAGGAAAGTGGTTGTGTATCCAGCACCCACAGTGTCTGTGTCCTTTTCTGCACACTGTCTCCTTCTTTTGTATATTTATATTTGTTAGTTCAGCACAGATGATTTTCTGGGGCTTGTCTTATTTACATTTCTTACTTAAGGCATTACTTTTCTTATGCATCTTTGGGCTAATATTACAATAAATATTCATTGCTTTATTTCTTTTTTACTGTGTGTGTATGACTGTTACATCATATTGCATTATATGAAACGTGCTTGATATATTCATATTAAGGCTATATCTTTGATATGCTGGGTCTTGGTATGCCTATTAAATCAATAGCCACCTCAAAATATGTATTGTATATGTATTTTGCCCTTGATATGCATTGTTCTAAACACATTATTGTATTTAAACAAAGTTCTAACTGCTTCATAGCTTGCATGGTCCCGTGGTAAGAGTCCACCATCTAGCTCAATTTCTGCATCTTTGTGTGGCACACCTGCATGTGCATATGGTTTTCTAATCAGTGGGTTAAGGTACTACAGTAGAAATCTTTTCAAGCAGCCAAACATTCAACATTCATCCAATCATTAAAAACATAAGAAACCCATTTCTGTTTTTCAGTTGTTTTTTGCTATGCTGTAGTTAAATGAGGGCAGGAATAACATGATTTCATTCACTGGTCTGGATTTAACAATATTTCTGTCAAAATCTGACTTCTGAGGTTGCTTCCTGATTGGTTATCAGGCTGCTGCTGAAAATGATTTAAACTACATAAATACATAATCCTGATGAAGCAAATTTGTATTGTTTTTGGGTGTAGGATTATAGATTAAGTTCTGTTAGATATGTTAACCTTTAGTGTTAGGAACCCCCTCGCCACACACCTTGAGTGTGTCAACCGTTTGCTATAACATTTCGTCAGCTGTGCAGAGGTGAAAATGCATCAGGGCGCCGTACTTCAAACTACTCCTTCATCGTGGCTGTTTAGAAAGACACCTTTCATTTCCAGACAGACTTCAAAACTAGTTCTGAGATGCCATAACTCAGCTCATAAAGTCACAGTCTACAGTAAAAAAAAAAAGGTATATATCTATGATAATGTATATTCAAATTCAAATTCAAATTTTATTTGTCACGTACACAGTCATACACAGTATATATGTAGATAGATAGATAGTGTCTGTCTCACACAGATCCAGATTTTAAAACTACTACTACTACTACTAATAATAATAATAATAATTTCATTTTCTATCCAGCAATCGGAGTAATCCAACTCTTTGCCTGACAAACAAACGCAACAAGAGCTGAACATCTTTTCCAAGGAACCTTACTTATCTAAACTCTCGACACTACTCACATTAACATGCACACAAAAGCTCTTTCGGGCAGAGTGGGCCCAAGTAGTCCCTTCTCCTAAGTCAAAACCTGGGCAGTTCATTGTGCTTCTGTTCTCTTTGAATGACTCAAAGAGAACAGAAGCAAAAGTACTAAAAGGTTTTTAAGGAGGAACCATATCTGAGTAATCAGGAGTAATTTACGTTGGCTTCAGTTTAAGCATTTGAGAGACTGTATTGTTGCCGGTTCTTATATCCATAAAGCACGAACAGCAGCAGTGGAACTCTGTTACCATTATCTTAGTTTAATACACCAAATCTCAGTCTGTCTCTCCCATGAACTCCTCCTACACAGTCAGGAGTTGAGCAACCAGACTTGGCAAACTGTTACATCTTAGTCTCATCGAGGGTCTTTTCAGTATCTGATATTATGACATCAACATGTTGCCTAGCAACCGTCTCCCAGAGGGCTAAAATGATCAGTTTTTATTTTAGCATTTATGCTCCCATAAAACCTTATAAAAACACTGTATCAGTGTAATTCAGTTCAGTTTATCAATTCATCACAGTTTAGTTCAATTCTATTTTTCCAGTTCAGTTTTGATATATATTAATGTGCAAGACTTGAATATGCCTTTACTTAAATGCTTTTTATGATGCCATCACATTGCCAGGCAACCAGCTAACAACTGACTAAAATGACATTTATATAGGACAGCAGGACCTGAGCAATTTCCAAACCTGATTTATGCATTTGTGCAAGGTGCATGCACGGGTAAGTGACAGTCATGTTAAGAGAAAAGTTACGCAATCCTCCTTTACTATATGGGTGCATATTCAACAGAACAAAAGTTTGCATATCACCTTTTAACTGTATACTTAACTAGGGTGGACAGTGTCTGGCTGATGAGTGTAATCGTACACTTATCTTTCAGAGAGTAGATGTTTGATGTTCACATTACATTTTTGCTGGATATCTGCACGCAATCTGTGAAACGAGCTCAGATCAAACAATACTGTAGCATGGACTATTGGACTATTATAGGTTAATTTATGTACGTATTAGGCCAATAAACTCAGTTTCACAGACCTGTTCTTGACAAGTAGTACACAAACGAATACTTCACTTCTTACTGAATAATACAGTGTTGATTAAACACATATTGTGCCTTATTTCGAAGCCCGTTCATCAGCACGCGCATGCACAAATATCAAAGCCAAAGAAGGACGAAAGGATGTTTGTGGGAATAAAATCAGTTAAACATTGCTTGCAGCTCAAAGTGGGAATCACATGGATAAACCCAATAAAAAAATGTTCATTGAGCCCTACTTCTCTGTATGAGGTTTCTGCAGTAGTACAAAAATGACACTGTTCACAAGACAAATGAACAGTGTCACCTGTGTCTTTCTTTTTTCTCTCTTCCATGCGTCTATTCTGCTCATTGTGTTGCTGGCATGCATCACCACATCAAACCATCAAACATGTTCATAGAGATGGATAAATCAGGGCAGTGACTTTTACGACAGCTGGATGTTGTCCTCCAGTGCAAAATACTTTAATCTAGTGGATGTTATCAACATATTATTTTAAGATAGTAGAGTTGAGTGATTTATTGATTTGCACAAATATCCAGTGTGCATGATCTGCGATCATAAAGTGCAGATAACTACTAATTGCGGCAGATGATTTTTAATTTCACTGCTGATGATCACACATTAGAATCAGTTTGATTTATTCAAAAGAAATCTACCTTCATGTGCATGAAGTGTGATATTGGATTTTACTGTTTAAGCTTTCCGTACACAAGAAAATCTGTTATTTGTTTTTTCAGGCTTCAGTCATTGTGTGTAAATTGTGTGTGTGGCTCTTTGTGTTTTAAACTGCCACAGCAATCACTCAACAGTATGTTCTGCAATAGTGAAAAACAAATAATAGGTCACAAAAAGGAAGATGATATGAGCAATGCAACATTACCCCCTCCCTAATCTATTCAGGAGGGAGTAACGTTGCACTATTAGTTGTCCAATTAGCTGCCAGGTTTTCTGAAAATAATGCACAGCAAACCATCCGATATCTGAGAAATATATCTACCTAAACAAATGTAGACACAAATACCTGTAAATGTGCAAATTTGTCCATTCTGGTCAGAGTAGTGTTGTTAAATGGCATAAACTGAATATACTGCATCTCTAATAGCATGTACAGAAGGTGGGGAATGATCCTCTTTTATTCCCGTCACCGGCGGGGTTCTGCTGAGTCAGAAGTCTTGGGTAAATCGTGCTGAAAGAAAAAGCAGAATCCAGCCAGACACAAGGCTTATGCTTTGCCACTGCATTCTGTGCTCTGCTCCACATGCTCTCCTTCTGAGAGATTTGCATTGGTTTTGATTAGTCAGGGAGCTCATGATTTAAGACCAGATGTAGAGTGCTTGCTAAAAGTAAGAAGGTGTACTTTACACCTCTTTGCACAATTCTCCTGACTTTTTCAGGGACCGTCTGCTTCATCTTAATGGATGTCATTAGACTGGGTTTGGTCTCAAGCATCATCTGGAGCTCTCTTGAACTGCTCCATTTGCTATGATGATTTGAAGGATTAGTGCAGACATTTGTACCATCGATACCTGATTTCATTGGGTACATTCTACTGTAAGTGCATTTCCAACACTAAAATACATTTCTCCTGTTGCTCGCTCTCTTATTTTCCATAATAACCTATGAAAGTTTAATGAACCCCATATTTAAGGTGACTTCTTGTCATGGTCGGCTGTGTGGCAGGCAGGCAGGAGTGGTGGACCCAAAATGCAGGATTCTCAGGACACGAGGTTTAAACAGAAAATGCAGCTTTATTGCTGGAGCAGAACATCAAGATAAAATAAAACTCACAAAAGCAAACAAAACTCTAAAAAGAGATGCAGGAGGACTGGAAATCCTAAACACGCAGCAAGTGAGGGTGAACAGACGTTAACGATGCGACACCGAGTAGGGGAAGACACAGACACTAAATACAAGAGGTGAACGGAGCAAAGAGGAAACAGCTGGGAGACACGGCTGACGTTGATTACACTGACGAGACAGGGAGAGCACAAAGCTGAACGCACTGACAAAGGACACAGACCTACAAAATAAGACAGGAAGCACACGCCAGACAGAGACAGACTCGTAAACAGGCATAATGACGTCATGGACAAACAGAGGGACATACGGGCAGAGAAGACTAAGCACAGGCAACCTAAACCAAACATAAGGGCAAGATAACAAAACCTAAACCAGACATAATCATCATCATCGTCATCAACATCATCATCAAATAACTAAAGAATCAG